AGGGGTCCCTTTTCACTGTTGCACTGTGGTGAGGGAACAATAGCTGCTCTTTAGTGTAGATGCATGTTGATTTTATCAGACGATGCCGCGATTATAAATGAGTGACTCCTGGTTAACATGTATTAAAAGGGGTCGTGTTTAGTCACTATTTAGTGTGGTATTTTTTGACAATATTCACTCATCATGACAGTAAAATAGGGCATTCTAAGTCAATATACTGCAGTATTTCCTCTCTCAATCAGTAGAAAATATGGTTAACACCCGGTCATGCATGAAAAAAAAAATACCGTCATGTACCGTGAAACCGTGATATACATTTTTGGTCATACCGCCCAGCACTATATATAGCTGAACATTAATTAATCTTAAGATGTCAGCTTTGCTGATAGAAGGCTGTAAACCTGCAGCAGGCATATTTAAAGCATCTTTTGCATCTCTATGACTTTTACAAACCCAACTCTGACCGTGATGGCTGTCTTAGTGACAAAAAAGAGAAGATAAAAAAAGAATGAAATAAGTAAATAAAAAAACGCTAAAAAAATAAATGAGAAGCTGAGTAGAGGCGCTAAAAAGAAACAAAAATTGGTAGTAAATCGTTCCAAAATATGCAATAAGATGAATTTTTCTCATCAAAAATCAATGGATACTGACCGCTGCACTGCTTTCTCATGTCTGGACAGCCTGTGGCTGGTGGTGGGCACTTCCTCCAGGTCATCGTCCAGGTCACAGGCATCAGCGGCATCTTGTGAGTAGGTGTGTCTCATTACCAGAATGTTCCTGCGGTTGGTTTGGGGAGGAAGCGGCCGCATGGGTTGCGGCGGGAGGTCCGTCAGGATGGCGGCTGTCGCCTCGCGGGCGCTCAGGTTGGTGCGGCTGCCCTTGTTGCTGGGCAGCTGCGAGGAGCCGCAGTGATGCTCGTGAACGCAACGCGAGGAGGCGCGCCGGAGCTTGTGGTAGCTCTCAAAGTCCTCGGCCAGCTCGGCCAGGTCTGCGGAGGTGGCCGCCGCGCTGCGGAGAGTGCAGAGCTCGTAATGCGGCGGCTCCTGGAACACCTCCTGGAACATGGTGGGGTCAAAGTCCTCCCGCCTCAGGATGTACTTCTTCCGCGGCTGCTTGATTTGGACGATGACCGATACGACCAGTAGGATCAGTACGATGCAGCATGTAACGCCGATGATGGTGCCGTTGGTGTTGTTGAGGTTGTCCAGGATGTTGGCTTTCCGCTTTTCTGCAAAACACAACAGGAAGTGAAATAAATTATTACTGCAGGCATGCAATGTCATCACAGGTTACCGTCTGTTGAAACTGTTGTATCAAAGAGATTACAAACAGCACACAGAAGTAGTAAATCATTCTAATGGGAGAGCTTTGACATTTATGTAGCACAGAGAGTGTATAACATCTGTGCTGGCTTTGGTTCAGTGGAGAGGAGCGTTTGCATTCGGAGGTGCAGACAAACCACAAATGAAGGCTTTGTGATATGTTTCCAAAATTAAATATGATGTTATTGAACTAAAACCAAAACGAATTATTTATTATTCAAATATTATCTGCATATTTTCTTTGTATATATAATTTTTTAATATTAATTATATAGTAGTATTTATTGTAGCATTGTAAATAATGTTTTTTTTTCTTATTGTTCATCTTGGTCTGAGGAAAATATTATATAAAGTGCATTGTATTCTAAAGATGACATATATTATGTGATATATAATACATACCATTTCCATTAAATAATTAAATAGTTTTATTATGTAATTTTACTAAAACTAAAACTAATTTTTCAAATATTATCTTTGTAATAGTACTCTACACATTATTTCCTGTGTATATAATTTGTTGTTTTAATATTAATTATTTTGTAATATTTACTGTATTAATGTAAGTTGTTTTTTATTTACTTTTTATTTCATACTGTTCATCTTGGTTTGGGGAAAATATTAAGTATTGTGTTTAAAGTTGACAGTGAATATATGATATATAATACATAATGTATTGTTTAAATTAAATAATGTGGCTTTTATGATGTCATTGTACTAAAACCAAAGCCAATTATTCAAATCAGGATAATTATATAATTACACTAATTAATAATAATAATAATAAATAATACTAATTATTTAGTAATATTTACTTTGTATTTTTTTACTTCTTACTTTTCATCTTGGACTGGGGAAAATATTAAGCTCTGTATCACAAAGTTGACATTTATTTTATATTCTTTATATTTATTATTTTTTATTTATATTTAACATTTCATTTGTATTGTTTTTTATTTTTACTTTTCTTATCTTTTACTGTTTTTTTATTACTATTTTAAACTAAATAAAAAACGTGATTGATATTTCAAATCAATCTTTAGAAAGCAAAGTGTTTTATAAAATTTACTTTAGTAAATGTGGTAAGAAATGTGTTAAACATAGTTAATTAATATCTTAAACCTAAATATAAATAAAATACATTTATATAGTGTTTTTTTCATCTGAAATGTTCAATGGACCACCAAACTGATTATCATTCAATTAACTTAAGTATTTATTATATCAATTAAGTTATGAATTTAATTAAAACTAGTAATATTGGACAAATATCAAGGATGTTCAAAGTTTTAGGAAAGATATTTTGTTAATAAATGAGCAAAAACAACTTTGTAATGTATTTATTTATTTATTTATTTTTAACAATTTGTGCTAAAACACCTCTCCCGTATCCTCATTCAGTTAATTCAGGACAGCTTATGTGAAATATAAGCACAGATATAGCCCAACCGCACTTAAGAATTGATGCTATGATTCAAACCCAGTCTGAGCCACAGTCATTCACATATACAAATGAATTACAGTGGCGTATGCAGAGTCAATCAATGAACCCCAGCTACAGGTTTGAGGGCTTTATAACAAGGTATTTTTTAACAGTTGAGTGTTCGTAAAACCAGTGAGATATATTTTGTGTTGACTAGCTATCAAGCGTGAAGGGGACAAACATTAAGACAGTGCTTCTCCCCAAGTATTGATTTTCATTTGGAGAAAAACAAAGGCAGACATATCCATGTACACTGAGAGGATACTGAAAAAAAAGCATGATTTACCTTTGCAGTGGTTTTCATCCCAAGGGTAGACGCAGTTCTGGATTCCGTTGCACACCAGCGTGTTGTTGATACACATGTTACTGTGGCAAAAGAAAGTATCTGCCTCACAGGGAGCTGATGAGAGGAAAAATAGATAATAGATAATGCTAATGTCATATTACACTTCATTTCTTCCTGTTAATAAGATGCTGTCTATAATCTTACCCTCTGAACACAATTAATCTCACAAATCACACTGGATGTCTATCTGACTGTGTCTGTGCATCAATACAGTTCAAATTTAGAAACCCATTACTCAAACCAACCAAATCAAATTCTGTTGCCTTCTGCTAGGCATGAATTTTAATCCAGCTTTTCAAATATGCATGGAAACAAGTCTGTAGAAGCTGCACAGATATTTTGTAATATTTCTATTAATATTTTTCTGGTTTAACCCAAAGAAGGGGTCTATATAAGCATAAACAGTGAATTAAAATACTTAAAGGGATAGTTCACCCCAAAATTCTGTCATCATTTATTCACGCTCAAGTGATATGAGTATGAGTTTATTTCTTCTTTTGAAGATCTTTTGAAGAATGTTGGTAACCAAACAGCTGCTGGTAGCCATTGACTTCCATAGTATGGAAAAAAATACGAAAAAGTCAATGGATACCAGCAACTGTTTGGTTATAAAAAAATTCATACAGGTTAGAAACAACATGAGGGTAAGTAAATGATGACAAATCTGTAAGAACTTTGTTCATCTTTGGAACACAAATTAAGAGTGAATTGAATAGAAAATTACGGTTGATCCACTGATGTCACATGGACTATTTTAATGATGTCCTTTCTGGGCCTTGAAAGTGTCAGTTTTATTGCTGTCTATGGAGGGGCAGAAAGCTCTCGGATTTCATCAAAAATATCTTAATTTGTGTTCCGAAGATGAACGAAGGTCTTACAGGTTTGGAACGACATGAGGGTGAGTAATTAATGACATAATTCACATTTTTGGGTGAACCATCCTTTTAATGCAGGCACAAACTGCAAGTACTTTAATATTTCCAAAAGTGCTAATATCACTCAAGATCAAAGAAGATTAATCTAATATTAGTGTTATATGTAAAAAATATATTAGGGTGGGTGTTCAATCTCTTCATTTTGAGTTGAAAAATGAATGAATGTCTCAGCTGAAATCATGAAATGATAAATGAGAAAGCATTCATAAAAAGAACCACTCATAACATTTACAACATTTACACTATCAGCACTCAATTAAAGCCAAGGTGACTTTCAAAAGGGACGGGGCTTCGATCTCAATCACCACGCATACATAAGTACTTCACACGCCCACCAGTGTGTGGCCATTTCCCACATTCCTCACTTGGCATGCTTATTTTGCGGTCTGCAGAGGACATAGATCACCCAGTTTGTACAGAAAACCCCTAAAATAACACAGCTTCAAGGTTGACTGGATGTACCTTGTGGATTTATTAATTACCGTATTCCTGAGCTGTTCCCAGGTGAGAAATAACAATGTAAATTAGGATGAGTCATCATTCCAGCAGTTCTGTTCTCACTACTTTCGACTTCACTTTCTGATTCAGTTTCACTTTCCACCACAAGGTGGCGCTACAGGCCTGTACTTTTCCTATGTAAGTCACTAAATGAGACTGGACTTTATTTAAAGGTGATTCAACCTCCATATATTAGTCATTTCCTGAGACCTTATAATGACATATTATAACACTTATATTGTAACACTTTACAATAAGGTTTCATTTGTCAATGTTGCATTAGCTAATTTTAACTATCATTTTGCAATTTTTTAATAGCATTTATTAATAGTTGTAATATTTGTATGTTATTTTATGTTGCTAATGTTAACAGATAAAATATTTGATTAAAAAAAAATTAGGGTTAGGGTTAACCCTATTTATATGATCTAAATTTAATAAATGCTGTAGATAATATGTTCATTGTCAGTTCAGGTTAACTAATTTAGTTAAAGCTGCAGTCCATAAGTTTTGCCTCTTTGTCGCCATCTCTGTTTGAAAACCTGCAATTGCAGCTGTGTGCGGAATTATATTCCATGCATGGGGTTGTGCTCCAGCGCGGATGAATCGAATGTTTTGAGGTGAATGTGTGGCAGTCAGTCACGGCACTGGTGTAGATATTTACTGTACTTCGCAATCACAGATTCTAGCCTACATCAGCTCATATCATATCAAACCGTTCAAATTATTATTATTGTTATACTTTATTCTCAAATTATTAATGTTAACATCAGCATTGGTGTTGATGAGTATAGTGTGTATTAGCATGTGATTTCAGTTTCTGTGCAGTCTAATCTCTAATTGTCATAACATTCGAATTTCATATTCAGAAATGATTTTAACCCCAAAAGCAAATTATGCTCCCTTCGAATAGAAAACATTATTATAAGCTAACCGTTGTGAATCGGGCTAAAGGCGATAGTTTTGAACACTGGCTGGTCATGTACTTGCTCAAATATTGATTTCGGATAATTTTTAACCAAAAAAAGTTACGGACTGCAGCTTTAACCAATGCTAACAAATAAAACCTTAATGTAAAATATTACCATAAAAATAGCCATTTGCACATTCATTCAACAATTTTACAAAAAATACCAACACTCTTAAAATGAAAGGTTCTTTATTGGCATCAATGCTTCCCTACAAAGGCAAAAGACCTTAACTCGCTAGAGAAAAAATGACTTTAACGTTTTTTATTTGTCCAGCCAAATTAATTATAGGTAGGACACTGGAAATTTGGCATTTAGATGTTTTAGTAATGAAAATGTTAAACAAAAATTGTGAGCTCAAACTTGATTTTCACCCCTATTTTGAATTTAATGTACTCTGCCTTTGCATTGTCTGCATCTTCCACTTACCAAGTCAATAAACCATCCTGTTTTGCACTTATCTGTTGTGTCTGGCCTTGCTTTGTGACAATTGCATAGTAATGTGACTGTATTAATTGTTTTTTTTGACCGTATCGAGCAGACTAAAAGTTAAACATGTGAGTGGATATCGAACGCTAGACATAGCATAATTGCTTTTATATTGACTCGAATGAAATAGCCTAACCTAAAAGAACGACTTGTGGATTGATGTGAACACCAGCAAGCAGGAATAATGCTCAGAATGCTTGTGGATTAAACATTTCCGATGACATTCATCACCATGGATTGATTTTATCGGGTTACAAGAAAAGGTAGGATATGGATTTAATTGCGAACTGTTAGTAGCCTACTGATTTTTTGATTGATCATGCTACATGCTACGGCATTCGAGTCCACACGCGTCCAACTAGAAGTGACAGCTTGGTGAATAATCTGCATTACAAAAAGGAAAAAAAATTAATTTAAAGGTTGTTCACGATTACGTATTGCTGCCAAGGTATCTAAGTCTTTACAATGCTTTGTTATATGGAGCTGTTTGGTGGATTGCGATCTAATTCGTTTGTCTAATAAAGTGCTTCAGTGACAGATCAGATTTATGAAAGTATACAAGTTACACCGTAATTAAAATGCGGCAGACTTTAATGGACAGTAAAAAAAAAAGGCAGAACGCCGTAACTCAATTTGAGTGTTCCAAACAAAGTGAAAGAGCGGTAGCATGCTCGAATTTCCCGCGAAAACCTACCCGTACCACTCAAATTAGAAAACATTATTATAAGCTAACCGTTGTGAATCGGGCTAAAGGCGATAGTTTTGAACACTGGCTGGTCATGTACTTGCTCAAATATTGATTTCGGATAATTTTTAACCAAAAAAAGTTACGGACTGCAGCTTTAACCAATGCTAACAAATAAAACCTTAATGTAAAATATTACCATAAAAATAGCCATTTGCACATTCATTCAACAATTTTACAAAAAATACCAACACTCTTAAAATGAAAGGTTCTTTATTGGCATCAATGCTTCCCTACAAAGGCAAAAGACCTTAACTCGCTAGAGAAAAAATGAGTGTTCCAAACAAAGTGAAAGAGCGGTAACTGGTGTTATATGGTGTTCTGCCTTGGTTTCTCCGGGGCTTTTCGAAGTTACGGTAAAGACGACCCATTATTTTCTTGGAAGATACTTATGCACATGATAAAGGATGTCTTGTATATCCCAAAAATACAAATAACTCATTTCCGACCAAAATCGAAGTTACGGTCTTTTGCCTTTGCACGGCAGAATAGTTCTATGAAGATCCTTAAACGTCCATGCAACCTTTCAAATGCAGAAAAGGTCCTTTATAGTTGAAAAAGTTTCTTTAGATTTCTAAAATGTTCTTCGAAATGGTTCTTTTAGGAACTGTTCACTGAAAGGTTCTTTGGGGAACCAAAAATTGTTGCTCTATGGCATCACTGAAAAAAACACTATTTTGGAACCTTTATGTTTAAGAGTGAATGTGGACAAATTTTCACTTTATAAAAAAATAAAAGTCCTGATTTCGGATTTAAAATACTCTAAAATTTGCAAAAATCTGGACAAACAAAGTTACACAAATTATAAAAAAATAATTTTACTCAGTATTTTTGTATTTTACTTAAGAAGTAAAATTAGGTAAAAGTCAAGTCTTGTTTAAAAATTTTAATGTATAAAAATTAAGTGAATTTGTGCTTAAAAAAAGAAAAAAAAACCCTCTTATTTCTTCTGAATTTCAAACCCCAGTGATAGTGTCACGAATCCGGTCCGTGGCCTTTCGGCCGATTGCCACTAGAGGTCATTCTACCATTACATTGACTCTCACACTACACAGACTGTTACATGTCACCCCGGACTACAGTTCCCATCATCCATTGCACTGATTACACACACACAGCTGAATCCAATAAGACATGCTACATAAGCCATGGACTTCCTCTCTCTCAGGGTCGTGTATTGTTCTGCATTTTCCACTCCCCAAGTGTTAGCTGCCTTACAGAGCCATTCCGTGTTTTCTGTTTTAGTCTCGTGTATTGTTCTGCGTTTATCACTCATC